CCGGCCCAGCCTTAAACGGTGACACTATTTTATTCGTAGAATGAACATGATGTCCATATTTTGCATTAATTTATCTATCACTTTTATCCTATTTCATTTCTGTGGGACTGTAAAAAGCAAAGGCGAAATTCTGGGAAAGTCTGTTGATTAGCTTAGTTAATCATTTAAAGAGCCTGTTTTTTAGTTCTATTAGGCTAGATCCACAAAAAGAGCAATTTCATCTCTGAAATGTTGATACAAGTATCTACCTGCAAATCTTAGATATTCAAAGGCCTTGCTCAGCTGCTGCTTGAACTTAGAGATATCTAGTCCTTTATGTTCAAACTCCTTATATAGCTGAAATTGTGCTTCCTCTTAACCTGAAGAATACCAATAATGAAGTACTGTGTTTTTCTGATACCTTAGGACCACCATTCATCTGACTTGTGGGATTAACTGGGGGAATTGGCTAGAGCAGACAGGAACACACATGTTCGTGGTGCTCAGGAGAGAAAGCGTGGGTTGACCAGCCTGTAGGCTGGGGATCTGCAGGGCAGTGAGTACTGTCACAAACCCATTTGTGTACTGTCAGGACTTTGAAATTGTGGTCTTGAGGTCTGATCCTTTGAGAGAGAGGGGAAAAAAAAACAACTTTGTGTCTCCAGTAACCCGGTTGAGTGTTTTAATTTTGAGTCATATTGAATACAAACAGTGGGAGCTGTGTCCTTCATGCTACCTGTCCACCTATGTGGGTAAATGTACCTCTTAGTGTGTCAGATAACCTGGGCCAATGGATCACCATAAGAAGCAACACTTGTAGTTTTATAGAAGCTGGATTGAATCTTGATCAATAAGGATTCTAAAATCTCTAAGCAACTCAACCGTTTCTTCCATCCATCTAAAAGACTAACTTCTGGTTTTGACCATGTCTATAAATTGATTTCTCTATTCCTGGCTCTCACTCCAAGAATTCCTTCCTCCCCTTCAAATACTTTTCCTCCGTCTGAATTTAGCATTGTCTGATTGAATGAACAAAAAATAAACTAAATGCATTTGACCTTTTGTCGTTTCCATTGGGTTATGGAGAATTTTTTCAGGATTTTAAAAGGTAAAATCATGACTTGTTACTCAGTGCAGAAGCTTGTCAAATTTAGGGACACTTTTCAAGAGCTTGGTCTAAGCTCAGTTTATTTTCTGCAGATTTTCTTTTGTTCTTACAAACACTTTTTTCAGCTGAAATACAAAGAGTGAATTATGTTGTTTCCTTGTGCATAGTCTGTGAGACACATAAACACAATTCCTTTCATCTTAATGATAGCATCTTGTATTATTTGCATGCTATGTTAAGACTATTTTTTCTGTTTATGTGAACATACTAGGAATGGTATTGTTTATTTTAACATGAAGATCAGTTCTGACAACACATACATACAAAATTAATTTCATTACTCAAGTCAATGAATTATTTTTTTTTTAACCTATTTTTACTGGATCGAGAAGTTTGGGTTTTTTTCTTGAAGGGACACAGAAATGTTGCTCTCCAAGCCATTCAAGGTGCAGCGTGTTAGCACTGCGTTCAAGTGTGCTGAATAGCTGTTGTTTTGTTTCTCCGACACATTTCAGAGGCAGTGATGAGGCCTATTGGTTCTTTGGAATAATAGCAATGACTTTCTCAAAACTGGTAGCTTTTTGCTACAGAGAGAGGATATTCTACTCATCTAATATTACAATAAAGTTTACACATGTCCAGAGCCATAACGGGATCCTTATAATGAAGGACAAAGCACAGCTTATGTCTTTCAAATGGCTGATTTTTTGGGGTATGCTGATATAGTTCAAATAAAAAACTTGTATTTAAGTATTACGTAATGTTAATTATTGATTTTATATAAAATATCACAGTACAAATTATCAGTAATCCATATGCAGAAATCAAAGATTTTCAGTAAAAGCATAAGAAGGCATGCTACAGAATAAAGTGAATAAATACCACCCCAGTGGAAATGCATAAAACCACTGAAGAGCTGAGCTGACCACCTCTATGGGTCAATCGGCATGTTACCATTTTCGTTTAACCTGAACCAGGGGATCATCGTAGGAAACACCACCTATTTGTACTTTTGTATGAGCTAGACTAAATTTCAGCCATCTAAAAAGGAAATAAGATCAGTCTTTGACTGTGGCTAGACCAGGCCATGTTTCTTTTGGGAGAAACAGGAGAGGCAGTATGCTGTTAAAAAGAATAGGATATTCATGATACTTACTTCTAGATCAAATTCGTAGTGAATTTTTGTCTTATGTTTGCCAAAACAGAATTACTTGTACTAGGAAACCACTTAATCCAAACAAGGCAGAAGTGAATCTACTGATTTGGAAAAGGAATCTAAAATCTAACATAGACCAATTAAGACAATTAAGGTTAAATAGAGCAAAGTTCATTAGTCTGTCCCCAAAATAACGTTCTGCTGAAGGAAGAGATTGAAAATGTGGTTTTTAAATTGCATTTGCAACTGGTTTTAAGTAGCTTAAGGTACTGAACTTACAAAAGGTTACTTAATTTCTTTTTTGGGTGCTATAAAAATGGTTTCGTTAGCAAGGTTCTTGTTCTGTGGATAAAGGTTTATGTGGGTCATCAGTGTAAGGGTATCCTTGCTAGGAAAGCCCCTTCTCTTGGGAGTGTGCTTTGCCTTTCAATTAGATTAAGCCTAAATTTAAAATACAGAGAACGTTGGTAAAAAGTCAGTTTATTTTAATTTTCTTCTGTTCACTTAGTGGACATTCAGTCTCATCTTTCTAGGCTTCTGGTAATTTTGTTACTGTTCTTATGCAAGAGTAGTTACTCAGCTGGTTAATGAATTATGGTGCTTATGTTACAGGGAAATCTTTGTAACTTAAAAATAGAAATCAAATTGCTTGTTAATTCCCTCTAGTGACAGGTGACAAATATACCAAAATTAAAGTTTAGTCATAGATGGAAGCAACACGGTTGCTAAGTTGCTAAGCTCCTGGGTACCTGGGTAAGATGGAAAAGTGATGTCAAATGTCTACCTAGTTCTGTTCTTTATGAAAAATTAAAAGATTTCTTTTCTCCCTCAGTCACTCAGGAGAGAAGGCTCTGTTGTTCAGATGGAGCTCTTTTTTATTCTCTCCTGTCAGTTGGGATATCTCTGAATTGTGTGATTCTAGTATGTATGCTTTGCTGTTCAGTGTTATAAACTATCTTTTTTTTAGGACTTATTTCATGAAGAAGGAGAGTTGTATTAGTTTTATTTTGTGAATACTATCTGGGAAATCTATTTCAATTTTAATTGCATATTACTTTGAAATAAATAATTAGCAGATGTGTATGAAGCAATTCAGAATTAACACCTCAGAATTAATACGTAGAATGTATTTTTAATGCTGTTTTACTTTTGACAAAAGTAATATACTTCCAGTTCTATAAGCATGCCACTATATTTCTTTGTAAGGAAGAATGGTGAATTAATATTAGACTATTGTTTTTACTCAGTATTCCCTAATACATTTCATTTTCACACTTAAATACTAATATACGTAGTTCATCTCTGTATTTTTTTTTAAACAAGTGTTCCTTGTAAGTGTGTTTAGTTGGGAACATTTAGAAATTGTATTGAAAATTACTTCTTAAATCTGATTTAATTTAATCTGTTTTCTTTAATCTTATTTTAATGCCATTGCTTTGCATTGATTGATGTTACTCATTGTTTTAGTCCTTCTTGCCACTTTTAGTATGTCATCCTTATTTATGGAAATGCTTGATGACTCAGGTGAAGCTATCAACCCTTCTGTTAGATAACAGAATTGGTGCCACCTTTTTCCATTTGTTTAGTTTGGGTTTACAAAAGATAGCTTATTCAGTAGAAAAATTAAAAGATCCAAATTTTCTATTGATTTGTTTTCTTTCTCTTTTCCTCAGACATCTCTATGTCTACGTTTTCTCTACCATGTTTCATTTAACAGACAGCACTTCAAAAAACACTTTTATTGTTTCACCTTGTCATTTCACAGCAAATTTTTCTTCTTCTGATAAACATGATAAACCCCATCTTCGCTTGACTGAATGATTCTTAATGTTGTCTTTGCAGGATGTGGTACTGCAACAGGAGGAGCTGAAGATGAAGGTGAGGCTGAAGCTGGCTGGATTGAAGGTGCTGCCATCCTACTCTCCGTTATCTGTGTTGTACTTGTCACTGCCTTCAATGACTGGAGCAAGGAGAAGCAGTTTCGTGGGCTTCAAAGTCGTATTGAGCAGGAACAGAAATTTACTGTTGTCCGAGGCGGACAGGTTATCCAGATCCCAGTGGCAGAGATAGTAGTTGGTGACATTGCACAGGTGAAATATGGTAAGTTCCGTCAACTAGATGTCTACTTTTCTGAACTTTATTTATTTTCCTTTCCCTTTCTAGCAGAATAGGCTCTCTTCACTGGAAGTGATTGAAAAGACAGAGAATTGCATAGTGTCATTATTGTCTGTGGTAAGATAACAATTTGGCTGTTAGGGCAAAAGGAAGACCTAAGCCACTTGCTTTAAAATTGCACTATGTAATTAGTTTTATTTTTGTAATCTTAGCTTCTTTTTGTCCATGCGGACAGGAACTGTTCATACAAAGGTGATTGTCTTTCATGGAGGGTTACACTATTTGGAATTTCTGGTTTCTGTCCAGTTAGGAATAAGAGGAAGTATTTTTGAACACTCTTGGAAGGGAATTGTGCCTCTGTGCTCACCCCATTTGGTAGGCTGCTTTAGAGCTATGGATCCTATGTAATTTCCCCCAGATTGGATACTTCTAGTAGGTGGATGCCTTATAATTGTATGCTATAGGGAAAGCCCTGTTCTCCAGTGAACAGGAAGACTTTTGCAGGACCTCTGTGTGCTCTGTGTTTGAGCTGGCAAATTCTGGCAAAATGCTTGTTCTGTGAGCAATCAAGTTTCTCCTGGACTTAGCTAAGGACTTCGTGAGAGGGGAAGGGGAAAGGGCAGCTTGACTGTTCATTAGCCACTGTTAAGTCCTGTTATGTCTGACAGAGAAACCTTCATGTCATGTTAAGAAGAGTACTCCCCCTGCTAAATCTCAGTGATTATTATGTTCATCATATGTTAAATGTGATGCATTCTGATTCTGGGATAGCGTTAAGCAAAAAATATTTGCAATACAAAGGCCCTTCCCTATTGGATTGCAATAATATGGCTAATAGGGACAGATGCTGTAGTAGTTCTTTCACTTTTACTTTCATTTTACATTTTAAAACAATTGTTAATTGTTATAGTAAAAATCATTATGTAATTATAAAAACAATCTTATTGAATCACTGTGTTTTTCCATTACCATATTCTTACTGAAAGGTGATCTTCTACCTGCCGATGGGATATTTATTCAAGGAAATGATCTTAAAATTGATGAAAGCTCTTTAACCGGAGAGTCAGACCAAGTCCGCAAATCTGTTGACAAAGACCCAATGCTACTGTCAGGTAAATCTGCCTGAATTCTTGCTGAGTTATCTTTTATGCGCTGCTTTGTTCATGTTTTGTTTTGGTTTTCCATGCCATCAGGTTTTGGTAACCTAGATACAACCGATCTTTTGAACACAGACACTGACCTTGTCTGTTTGTCATTCAAAGAACATGACATTGTTTTTTGTGTGCAATTATTTCTAATCATCATAGTTATTTTATAAAGTGAGAAAGTAATGAAACATTTTCAGAGGAAAAGGAAAGTATCACTTAGGGAAATAATTGTTTCAATTCATTTTATGCTAGTTTTAATTTAATCATTAAATTTCAAAGCCTTTTAAAATCTCTCTAAACACTTTGTGTGTATACTAGATACAATAGAAGAAGAAACAATGTGCTTAGAAGGAAATGGATATACTAAAATATTGTCGGCTTGACTCCTGTAGTAAATTCAAGTTATTTGTAATAGTTCTATTTTGTAATATATTTCTGTACAGTAAATCAATTAAATAGAATGTGATTTTTTAATTCTAATAAAGACAGTTTCTAGATAGATTGGTTGTCAATAGATTCCAGCTGGGATGTGATTGCAAAATAATAGCCTGCTGATCTTGTGATGATCATCAATCTGTAGAACCTGAAACAGTCATTTTCAAATACATTTGAACCTTTTATTCATGGAAAGGATTCTCTTTGCTGTCTGATTGTACAGTCAACCAAGAGTCATCCTAAATAGCATATTTATGTTGCAATGCAGCAGGTAAGTACACGTTCCTGCAGAAAGCCTGCCCCCATCCTGCCTCACTGAGCTGGTGTTTCCCAAGCGACAACTGTTGGGAGATGCTTTTGTTCAGAAGAGACAAGTAGTGACAAGTAAGGATGTGACAATTTTTATTAAACTAACGGTGCAAATCCTTCCCAAATTTAAAATCAGATAATTAGTTCACTGACTATGAGATTATGAATGTTTATTATGTAAACTATGGAATTGTGGTCTGGTAAAAAAAAATCAGATTTTAGTCAAATGGTGGCTGCATTAACTTAAGATGAAGAAATTGCTAATGTTATTTGTAGACTTGCCATTGCCACAGACTTCGTGTTACAAAATAACATGTTAATTAATTTTAACTTTAGCAAGCTTCAAGCATATTCCCAACTGAAACTGTGTATTAAAACTTATTTTTTTCAAATGACAAAAAAAAATCCTATCACTTCTGAGAGTAAAACAGCAAAAAAAATTTCTTTTGCTCTTTTAGGAAAAAATATTACTTTGGTGTCTTTAAGAATATTCTGGGTTTTATTTTGTAAACGTTTTTGCTGCAGTGTCCCTGCCAAGTGTATGCCTTTTGCTGTTCATGTTGTAAAACCTCAAGATTTTCCAAGTTATAAATGTCTGAAAAATGTATTTGCACATGTTCAGTAGAGGGTAACAAGGATTACTGGAGTAGCTACAGACTCCGAAGGCTGCATTTGTGCAGAGAAAATACAATGAAGAGCTCAGCATTTGCAGGCAGCAGACATATAGAAACGCTGAGTAGTGGGCACAGTGCCACTTCTGAATGCTTGGTGTCCCTTTGGCTCCTTGATATACTGTAGAGTAATTTAAGGAAATGTTCTGATTTTCATGAGTAGTGTATGAAGCTACTGACTGTTATTTTTGCTGGATTTACAATAATTTGATTTGTCCTAGTAGTGCAGATATTTAGGCTTAACTTGATTGTAGATTATGAATGCTCATGGAGATGCTTCCAATGCGTAGAGAGGCCTGCAGTGATATTTTGAGGAAAAGTAGCTCACTGTTGCAGTTCTTAAGAATCCAATATTGTTCTTGAAATATTTGTGCGTTTTTTTTTTTTCCATTTCTTTTTTTCTTACCTGATAGGTGTATTGTTTTGTAAATATAACTTCATAACTGGCATAAAATTTTCATTTTAAAGAGATAGTTTTAATAATGATATTTTCTTATAGAAACTTCTTTCATGAAATGTCATAGACTTCTATCAATTAAAATATCCTGTTGTTGAATTCCAGGGGTTTTCTGATTATGAAATTTCTAGCTATTTGTGTACTCTTACATATCCCTAAATTGAATTCGATCTTTTTGCATACCCATAGATTTTTCAGTGGTGGCTGTGGAAAAAATGTGAAGGTTTTGCCCTGAAAGGCAGGATGGGAAGAGAAAGGGAAAGCGGTCAAGTGAGGAGAAAAGATGCTTTTGTCTTGCTTCCCAAAACTCAAATTTCTTTGCTACAAGGAGAGAAATTTGTCTTATGAGTTAAATAAAGTTTATACGCTTTATGTAATCTCTGTTGTGATTACAAAGAAGGGGAAGAATTAATGTGATATTTTAACAATGTTCCATACTTACAGTAATGAATTTTTACTCATACCATGTTAGAAAATCCCTGAACTCTATTTGCTCAGGAATAGCGCTGATGATTTGATATTCTATCATGCAGAAACCTACTTTCTTCTATAGATACGGTGCAAGGTTTAATCCCAATGATACGGGAGCTGATGTGCCCACTGGAAATTGTTAGTAGTCCAGAAACCTGGCAAACACCATATCTTTCAGGGTGGATTTGACCTGGTTTAAAAACTGAGTTCCTGTTCAATGTTAGCCTATATTTTTATAAAACAAGTTTAAATTAAACCCAAACCAACCCCCTGCAAAAACATCAGACCTTAAATTTTCCTCTTAACTTTGTGCCTGAAGACATCAGTAAGTTATGTCCAGGTAGGCTTTTGGAATTTGGATAAATATTGTCAGGATGTTTCTTCCCACTTAATCATCTGTCAGAAATGAAAACAGTTCAGGTTTGACAGAGGAATAACTGAAAAAAGGTAACATTTGCATTGCAGCCACAGTTTGTTTTGCGAGTCTAAGTTTGGTGACAGATAAACACCCTGAATCAGGAAGTATTATTTTCACCTGAAACAACGTTTTTAATATTCAATCAGTTTCAATGACATAATTAAACTAAATGAGTTTCTGTGCTTAATGTCCTGTTTAATCATCCAGATAGTCATTTACTGTACTTGAGAAGCAATTCTAAGAATACAAGTGCTGACTAAACCAGATGGTTCATTTCCATCTGTGTATAGCACATTTGGTACCACCTAGGAAGGCAGAAATGGAAATACAGACTCTAATATACCTGAAACCAAAAGAAGCAGCTTCTCTTCTATAGTTCCACTGTACTTCTGTCTAAAACATTTTCCTCCTTTTAGTTCATTCACAGAGGTTTGCATGCATGGTGTAGAATAAGCCATTGCATCAAAAGTCATCAGCTTAAACGAGACTGTGGTGACATTACATTTCTTTGCAATAAGCATGGGCGTGTATCAACCAACAGATGAAGACAGCTTGGGTAACCAAACTGACTGCTACTCAACTGGCTTGATTGAAGCCGATGTGCCCTTTAAGTTTTGTATAGTTTGAAGTTTGAAGAAATGCATGATTCCTTAATACAGAATTTTGAGTATGAGCCTGGCCTCAGTGTTGCACATAATGAGGTATTTTGGGGTACCATGTATTGTAATAGTTAACATTGTAAAAAATACCTTATGAGGCTTACTATTTAAAACTTTTTTCCAAGGTATTTAGATTAATTTGATTAAGGTATGAGTTGCATAGAGGAGCTCACCTAATGTATTTCTCTCTGAACTGAGACTGACAGAACATTACTTTATCCTAACCTAACTTTTATAAATGCATATTTCTATCAATGTGCAACAAGGACTTGAAACAAAGAAAACAGCTTATTCAAAAACAAATAAAGAAAATAAATCTCTTGGTCATGATGCTTTGTTAGGTTTTGGAAGTAAAAAGGAAGCTTGATTAAGGAATCGGGTCAGTTATTGCCTGGAGAAAAATAGATCTGATTCTGTCTTAATTCCCTGCCAGAAAATATTCCAAGCTAGGCTTCTAGCACAGCAGAAATTTTCAGAACTGAGCAGCTAACTTCAAAATTTTCAGTTTATTAGGATATGTTGAAATTGCTTGTAGATGATTTTTTTCTGGAAAACTTTTTTTTTTCATAGAGGATGCTCTGATGGTTGGTTCACTTTATTTTTAATTTCAGTTACCTCTTAATAATTGCAGTGACTAAAACAGTTGTTTGGACATGCTGATAGAGAATTTTTATTCACCACAAGTTTGCTGAAAGTAGCAAAACAGTACAAAACCCGCAAACTGGAATGCTCTGATTTTCTTTTCTTGTTTTTTTTCAGCCCTATTTCCAATCTGTTTCACCAGTAGTATTATTAGATTTGGGGGTTTCTGAACAGTCTCATGTTTAGTTGCATTTTTGTCTGAAAAGTATGTGCTGTAATAGGTTCCTTATCTGTCTAATCTCTTTATCTACGAAACTAGACTTCTGCCTTTTCTATCTTGGAATATTCACCATTTATCAACTTCAAATTAAATACTCAGCATGTGAAAAAATGTATTTTACTAATACTGAAAAATTAGTCTTGAGAGGGAAAGAAGTCAGTGGAATTGTTCAACACGAAGTTGAAATACATGCTTAGTGTACAGATAAGTGAGAAACATGCATTCGTTCCAGAATTCCATTTATATAACAATAGCTGATTGAAGTCATGAAGCCCATTTCTTTATTCAAGCTAATATACTTATAATAACATTTAAACAGTGAAATTGCCAGAGTTAGGTGGAAGGACGTTCAGCTCTTTGGTCTAGTTTAGATGCTGAAGAATTTTTCCAGTAGTCCTAGTGGAACATTAATCTGATGATAAATTAGTAGCTGCTCTAAAACATGCTTTTGTATGCACCTTAACAGTTTTGAATTATGTTTTACAAGACTACTATTAAGAAAAGGTTCAGAAAGGCATTTCAAGTTAAGACATTTTTGTCCTTTCCAGGTGTGCAGAGGTAGGCTTGAAATACAGCGGGTGCATGTTTGCTTAATAAAGCTGGTTTTGAAACATAGGTGTGCATGCCATTTTTTGGAAGGTATTTCTACCCACCTTTGTAATCCAATACAGAAGAAGATTCTTTCAAAACAAAACATAGGAATACTAAAAGCAAGTTCTTAATTAAAATATATTCTAAATGCTGTTGCATCTTAAAGGAGGTTCCTTTACATTTCTGAGTTAAGTTTCAGACATTTTCTGTTTTGTTTGAACAAGTACAACCAAGCCTATTCTGTCTTTTTACGATCTTTCTGTTCCTTTAGGCTTCGGTCTAACTTGTTGTTTGGGTGGCAGTCCTAATTTGTATGTTTGTGATGTTTTACTCTATTATATGAAAGAAAGCAAATGACTTTTTAAGGAATCAATCTCAGAAAGCCATAGGAACAGTTCTCAATGTGCTGAGAAGGTCTGTTGCTTTTTTTTTTTTTTTTTAAATACATCTAACCATTAGTGCATTTTTGGTTTTATTTGGCTTATTTCTGCTGAAATTTTCTTAGTATTCTAGTGAGATATTTATGCTCTCAAATTAGGCTTAGTGTTGACAGATGTTCTCCCTGTTCTGTGTTTCTGTTTTCCTTTTAAGTACATGAGAGATTTTGATTATTTAGAGAAAGATCTTTTGATTGTAACTAGATAGTTGCATTGCTTAGCATGTTCTAGGACAGCAACTGGGTGAGCAGTAATAAGAAAATGGGATTTTTTAAAAAATGGATTGCAAATATGGCTTCAAGTATGCGCTGCTGTGGTACATTTCAGAACTAGAGGCATCAGTGAACAACTTCACTTTAGTTTTAAAATATCGAACTGTAGTTAATGATAGTAGTAGGTAAGTGATAGGGGCAAGATAGTTGAGAATAAGCAAATCAGAATTTGTACCTCATTAACAACGGAATTGTTTAGGACAAGTCAGTTAATGACTCTACCTAATTCATGCTGTGAGAGAATGAATGAAACAGTGATGTTGTCTTCAGGAAGGTAAATGGAGAACCTTACATTTATGGCAAATGTGATAATTGTAAAGCAGTACAATGTAACTTTTGAAGTGAAGTGAGGATCTAAGGAACAAGAGATTAAACCCCAGCAAAGAGTAGTAGTTTGTCACAAATACTGCAGTGACAAGGCAAAGAGTAAAGTGACTTGTTTAGTTGACTTAGACTCTTAAACTAACAAATAGCTTCAGAAGAAGAGTAAAAATTCTTTCTCTCTCCATGTCCCCACACTGTCACCCAAAGGGAAGTGTAATTACTGGGCTATGTTCTGATTCCATCCAGCCTCATTCTTCTGATGTCCCACAGCTGCAAGTCTGGAATAATGAGTGGTCTTAAAGTACAATTTATTTAAAACTGTAGCACCTAGGATTAAAAACTATTGTTAAATAATAGAATACTTTCTGAGCAGGTTCTAGTTAACCATGTGTCCGTCCATAGTTCACTTGAGGTATAAATACGTGTTTGTCTTTTTTGTATACAATGATTTTTTTCTCAAGGCTAACAGTTTGTGTGTTACAGTCTATTTTCATAGTTTCCAAACTGTTTCCTTCTTCAAATACAGGAAAGAGTATTTAAAAAAAACCCAAGCCCAGTAAACTTCCAATCCTAGCTTGCTCTGTCAACTTTGTGTTAAGAAATGATTGCTTTTGCTCTGTGTTCTCACAGTGACTTACACTTAATAGGCATAACATGATTTTCTACTACTAAAGGATAAAATATGAAGTCTATTTCAATGAATAGCTTTACCTATCTATCAGTAGGTTCTGATCATTATGTATTTGTTTTTCATCTGTTTCATGGAAGCACTACTGATCTTTTAAAATTCACTACCTACTAAGGTTATCTCTCTTCAAACATTTCAAATATAACTTCAGTAATGAACTTCTTAGATTAAGACTGTCACCATATGAAATGACAAATTAGTCATTTCATGCCATCCTTAACACATTTGTTCCTATGCCTCAATGACAGGTTTTTTTTAAATAAGCTTTTAGTAACTAGCCTTAAATATATGTCATAACAATAGGTTGTTCTCCCATTTCAAACCTTTTTTAGAAATAGCCAATGTGCAATTGCATAGACTGATCTTTTGCAAATCCTCTGTTATAAAGTTTTTCCAAAATGTAAATGAGAATACTTTTGATTGTTTCTAGGAATTTCTATTTGTTTGTGTTTCCACAACTCATAGCAAAAGGTTTCTAAGAGGCTATGATCTTAGATGCACCTAAGATTTGGTTCAATATAGGAATAAGAGCTGCAAATAAACAACCTCTATACAATAAAGCATGAAATATTTCTCGAAAGGAATTTACTTAACTAGGTAATTGTATCATTATATTAAACAAATGATCATTTGAAAAAACTTAATGTACATTTTGATCTGTTTTAGAGTAACAGAAATCTCTGTACATACTGAATTTGTTTTCAGGTGTGTGTCAGATTCTTCTTGCTTGATTTAATTAAACATCCCCTTGAAGATGTTTCTCTGTATTGATTTTTCAAGTTTAAAGATGTGAAATTGTCTTCAAAAATACGGTTGATTTACAGGCATAGAAAAGTAACTGAGAAAGATGAGAGAAATCGCACACATATTTTCACTTCATTTATGTAATAGTATTCCATGTACAGTCAGCATAATCTTGTCTAGAGTCACAGAGGAATGTTTGCGGAACCCTGATAAAATATTTTCAAAGTTACAAGAATTAACTGTGTGAAGCTAAACTATTATCTTCCAAGATAATGTAAACTTGATTAGTGAGATTTCTTTTAAAAAAGGGAATCTGAAGTGTGTGGTTAATAGATGTGCAGCCTAAGGTTTGCAGTTAAGCATCCATTCTTGGTTGAGAATAATATATAACAATAGGGACTATTTATGATATGTAATTATACTGGCCTCAATATAGATTTTTATAGTGTAACAAATCTCTCTCAGTACTATAGTAAAAGTCTTGCATAAAATATTTAATTTTTTTTAATTATCTTTTTGCTATATATAATTTATATTGCATATTTTCAGGTACTCACGTCATGGAAGGCTCTGGACGAATGCTTGTAACTGCTGTGGGTGTGAATTCTCAGACAGGCATCATCTTTACTCTACTAGGTGCTGGAGGAGAAGAAGAAGAAAAGAAAGATAAGAAAGGTAAATTTCACAACACATAAGGATGCTCCGAAGAAAGCTCTTGGGCTTTGTGTAGCCAGAGTTCTCCTCCATTCTTGACAAATAAATAAGATTTTTAAAACTTCCTTTTCTGTATACATTTTTGTCATTACGTGTCACACAGAAAAACAGCAAGAGCTGTTAACCAATAAATACATTGGATAACAAGATGTTTTTCCAGTGTGAAATCGCAGATTCTCAGTACATAATTAAATGCAAGGGAATACATGGGCATACTCCCATTGCTGTGTCTTCTTTACATAAACCCATGCTCAAAATTTGCAAAGGTTTTGCTCTTGTGCATTTACATCTATGTAATATTTTCTTCAGGAAAAAATAAACTTGGCCATGGAAATAGTGTCTTGAGCTTCAAAAATAAACTAAAGATAAGATGTGACTTTTTGCTAGCCTAGTTGTTTAATGTCAGTGAGTGACTTTAGAGACATTGTAATTTTTTAAGAGGTAAAGGTCAAATTAAGAATTATAAAAGACAAGAAAGTAGCAGTAAATGTTAAGAGAGAGTTTAACTTTGATGTCCTGTATCAGTTAATGAAATCAAGAAGTCTCTTTAGACTTTTCACCTTGTTATAGTGTGATGTCACAAGCAATTCCTAATTTATGGGTTGCACACTAAGCAGAAACATGATTTAATGTCTGTCCTTTCCAGTTTTTGTTCATACATTCTTGTAAATTGTTCAAGTCTACTTTCAAAATTTCGGTCCAAGTTTGTTCTAAGAATATTTGTCTTTCAGACATAATTAAGGGTCAATTAATACGCGGTTTTTTAGACATTTCTACTCTTTTTAGTGATTTCCACTATTAATAAAAAGAGAGTAGTTAGAGCTTTGCTGAACATTTTACTTAATATCTGTCAGGCAGTCTGATTCCACCTTTTTTCCATTTCCATCCTTTTAATTTGAAACTTCAGATAGGAAGGCCAGATTCAAATGGTTTTCATGACCTACAATTTCCATTTCTGAACATGTTCAACAAGTGTTTGCACTTGACTCCATGTTTCTCTGAGGAAGTCCCTTTTTACTTGATGAAAGACTTTATGAAATGCTTACCATTTCATTTCTACACAGAAATGCACAATACTTGCTAGGCATGGTAAGTTCTAGGAATATTAAAAGGAGAAAGACCAAAACTTCCCAAAGTAAAACTCTTTCATGTCAGACTAGTTTTGAACAATATCTTAGAGTCTCATCTTGCTGTCATTAAGAGGACGACTCCTAGAAACAGACCTTTCGAGATCTGGCAGCATCTGTTTTGACAGTGTCTAAGGATATTGTAGATGAGAAGGAGCAACTTCAGTACCTGTTTGAAAGTGACAACCGTCTGCTGTGAGGCCCCTTGTTTAACTGGCTTGGCCTTCTCTGTATGTTCTTTTGCTCAGGACACTGGTGATTCTCTCATGTTTCAATGTGGATAGACAGGGTAAGAGAAATCTGAGATAGCAGAGTAATGCACTGCACTGTGGTCATAATTTACTACCCAGAGACAGGGATTCTTAGAGGTGTTCTAAGAACTTGTTGTGCAGACACTGAGTCTACAATATCAAGAAAATTCCTTCACATTTTCTAATGTTGCTAGCAGCTTTGTGCTGGTGGAGAGGAGTGCCTGGGCAGAGCTGGTAGGAGACTGAGGCCCAAACTCAAGTAATGTACTCTCATATATAAACCTGCAATTCTCTGAAATCCTGCCAATCATAAATGTTTGTTTCAATCTTATGTGGGTGTATGCTTTTATCATTCATTAACATTTTGTAAAAATCATCATACAGGTGTGAAACAGGAGGATGGACATCAGCTTCCAGGTAGAGTAAGAATTGTACCACATCAAATGAAAGGATGAGGCTTTTAGCCAGCAAGCTTTGGTGCAAATCAGGGTTGAACTAGTGATTAAAATAATTGTCTTTGAATCAGTCCAGTTAAATGAAAGAATAATTTCAAATCAGCAGGATTGTTCGTGGCAAACGTTAAAGTGTTCATGCATTGTTGATGTTGCAAATCTTAATGTTAAGCTTGAATAATCAGTTATTCTCCAGAAGTAAATTACAGTGTATTAAACGTTGGAATGCATGATTTGCTGTTAGCAGTTCATGCTGTGCTGGTTAGTATGAGTATCCAAATGGAATAAAAAATAAGCATGAGTAACCAAAACAGTTTAAGTTGTTACCATCACAGCGATCAAATTTGCAATTGAAATTTTCATGAATGTAGTTACAAAGGATGTGTTTTTAAATGCTGTGTGCTGTTTATTTTCTTCTCCCACTTTACCATTTGTAAATAAAGCAAGACCATTTTTCTTGAATAACAAACCAGTACAGTGTGAAACAGTCACTATGGGTCAAGTATTGAAGAAGTTCAAGAGTCTCGATCAGGTTTCATTATAGGATTTCTGTGTTCTATTGTGAATAAATAACCAACAGAAACAAAACAAAACTTATTTTATCAATTATTTGTAGAGACTAATTTTCTGAAGTCTAGTATAAAAGACATGATAGAGTAATAAAGCCTTCTTGGAGATTTTCACCTTCCTGTTATGAATGATTTCTTGACCTGTTTCTCTAATATGCAGATAATTGCTGAAAACAAAAAGAGGATTTTCTTTTCTGATACTTTTTTGATTTTACCACAAAACAGGCAATTACATCGTGTCTATTATTTGGATTTAAAATAACTCATTATTCTCATCAAGACTATATTTGCCATTTCCACATACAATATTGAAAAGTTTGATGTTTCTACTCAGATCAATATGCCTATTAAATAGGTTATGGCAGGACATAGATTGAGCCCATGTTAGACTGGGATGTATCAGCAGTAATATATCATAATATGCAACATTACATATAATACAAAATATGTAATGTTGTATATACTATGTAGTATGCTGCATATTTTAAAACTACCCATGCATTGCATAAATTCATTAATTCAAGGGAAATATTTCAACGATTTTAATATTTGCATAACATTATATTAAAGTAAAAAAAAATTGCACATAAGAGAACCAAAGCAATGTACATAGTACTGTGTACAGTCAGTTCTCACCAACTCTTTTAACTTTGTTAAATGTCTTTCATATTTATTTATTTATTTAAATATTATTATTATTCCACGTATGAGTTTTTGCCTTAATTTGTAACACCTTTGTAATGACATTTTGCTTTTGAAAGTTATGTTAATTTAAAAGAGATTGATTTTGGAGAAAACAAGCCATAGTATTCCATAAATGTTTTTTGTTTTGTCATGTGCGTTTGTTCATGTTATTATTATTTATTGTTTTTTTATCCATTATTGCTCAGTAGATTCTTCCCATCCCTCCTCCCACCCTCCTTCAGCTACAGATGGTGCAGCAGGTGCAAATGCCACTGATAATGCAAATGCCAGCTTAGTCAATGGTACGTCAAGAACACCTAGTTTGTTTTATGTGATAGATTTCTCTCCTGACTATATAAGATTCTCTCTTCCTTTTATGAACTGCACAGATGCTGTATGTGCATGTGATTACCCTCTGAGAGATCCTTCTCCATAAACTCTGTTGTAGCTTATAAGAGATACCACAAAAATGCTTTATTTACTTTATTCACACAGAATTAAGCACAGGAGAGGAAGAAGTAGGAATTATGATCTGTTTGTCATTAATTAAAACTACAATTAAAAGGAACAGTTAAGTAAGACTAGTTTCAAAACTTTTGAGTTGCCTTTAGATGAAGTTTCATTGTAAAGCTCTTTACACATTTGTCAGCATGGATCTGAAGAACACAATGATAAATGAATTATATTTTCTTTTCTTCTAATGTGGCCCTCTCATAAGTATTCATACAGTCTTCATGTAGTTCTGAGAAATAGTGCCAGGATCAGAAATCTGGCTCAATTTCAACTAACAGTACGTTAGGAGTAACTTTTGCTGCTGAAACTGAAAAGTTATGTTTGTGGATATGCCCTTAAAGAGTGATGACCTAATGATCCTACCTGTATTTACTAAAGAGGAAAAAAAATATTACTGTATTCAATTTTGACTGTCTCTTACTACAGATTCTTGACCCCAGTTCTTAGCATGCAGATATTTCAGTATCTCTTCTAATAGTTTAATTCCAGTATTAAATGGAATGGGTCAATATTAGTCTAGGCATCAGCTGTATTTTTCTGATAATGAAATGCATTAGTCTTTATTTCCCATAGAAACTTTTCTCTCTTGTACAGTACCAATAATACTGACAAAAGTAATTCTAGTTTTCATTGTGTTGGTGATAGAAATTTTTTCCATGCAGGTCAGTAGTTGTTGTATTATACATGTGAAACTAGAGTTTCTGACATAGCAATACCAAGTACTAAACAAGTACTAAGATTTATTAGTGTAATATCTCATTTAAAGCAATGACATAGGAAATATTTGTGCCTATTTTTAAATTATTTTATTATCATTTAAAAGAAACATATAACCAGATTTAAAGCTTTACTCCTGTGCATTCTAACTTTGCTGGAAATCTAGGATTTACAATCCCTACATCTCACTGCATGACAGGAACCTATATCATCCTGGTTCCCACACCCCAATTTCAGATTCCTTAGAGACTAAAACCCAGGAAATTAATGATTAATATTTCATTCTCCATTCTTTATGCTCTATAATTCTGCTCTGTTGTGTGTAAAACACACACATATACAACAAAGTCTTACCAGAGACTCTGCAGTATTATATTCGTGCTCAGTCCTGCAAGTTGCTGAGTACTAAGCTAAGCATCTGCTTACGTGGTTTGCTAGATAAGAACCGGTGCTCAGCAAGATGCAGAAATGAGTCCGAAGTTGTTCTAACCTGATCTGTCTGTTAGCAAGTTTTAGTTGCCTGGTAAATATCTGTTGTGTTTGGTCTTAATGCCTGAACTTAATAATGGAAATTAAGTTCCAAGGGATATTAAATCAGTGTCTTAAGTAAGTGTGTGATTATCCATCACCTTCTCTCCCATCACAAAGAGTACTTACTGTCCCTGTTTATCTTGGAGTTTTGAGGTACATATTCAATTCTTTTCAGTGCACAAAGTGTAGAAGTCAATTTTTTGCTCAGCTGAATATGGATTTGCTTTTAACTCTTCTGAGGTGAGGTGGTTGAATTAATTCTGCAGATCTTTCGTCCAAAATGAACAGGAGATACTTTACACAATTCAACTCATCTGACATTGTGTTCAGAGGAGAACCGAGACTTGACAAGTAGAGTTAGATCTAAGTGCTTTGAAATTGCTTGAGAAATAGCGAAAATCTGATTTCTGTTCATAGTATACATTTTTCTAGTTAGCAGTGACAATGAATTAGGGAATACTTGAAATGTAGACATGTTTTGGAGGGGGTTTGGAGGGGAGAAAGAAGGGGAAAAAAAGTTCTAAAGCAAAGAGACCAAGTTCATGTAGATACCTGTTCAGTCTGGATGAAATTAATTTTTTCAGTAAAGTCTGAGAATTCTCCCTGAGATGTGACTGGAAACAAGCATTTTTACCTGAAGTCTCATACCTCTTTGTAGAAAATACCTTCAAATAAGGAAAAAAAATTATATACTTGAATAAATACTTAGCTCAGGAAATGCCATTGCTTGTTATTTGAAAATCAATACATTATCATTTAAAAAAAAAAATAATGTTATGGTCTTAGTTGTCAATATACGTTTGACACAAAAGTATTGTTTTGAATCAGTGAGCTTATAGTGATAAATTCATATAGGTTTCTGACACAGCCTGTTTGTTATCTGCTGTACTAAATCATGAAAATTCATCTAATTTTAAAGTACTACATTTAGAAAAGGTGTATCTTTTAAAAGAAAATATGGGAAGCAACAATCACTGTTTACAGCTTACCTCAAATTTCCTTTCCTTAGAAAAAGGACTGTTTATCATTGTCCAGTAGAGCTCTACCCGATCCCTACATCAGGATTTCCATGTTGGGTTGTTGGGGTTGTTTTTTTTTTTTGCATTTGGTACTCAGAGAATTTGTTACTTAAAATTATATTCTGCTACAGAAATACCATACGAGACTCAGAGAAATGTTTCAGCTGAAATACTTTACATCTACTGTTAATTCTGTCAGTTTTGGCATATGTACGCTAATGTTCAATTCCTGCAAAGCAATTTGCACTTTTAATATATTTTAAAGTATTTTCTGCATTGTAAGTGAAGTTATTTAGTCAGTGCATAGAAGAATTATCTAAAACTTCCTATTTGATACAGTGGAATCAGATTTATTCTTTTGTAATTAGCCTGTGTTTTACTAATGCATTGGCTCTGATACCACACTACATGAAAGAATTCCTAATGATTCACGTTAGATATGTTTGACGTCACTTTTCCCCCTATATATAGATTTGCAGCGTGCGTCTGTTGTTACTAGCTGCATAATATAACTGACTTGGCATGAAGAGGGCTATAACTCCTTTCTACTGCAAGATGAGACATTTTGGAAAATCAGTAGGGTATTTTATAATTTTTGCTCCATCACAGCACATGAGAACATAACTCGATTAGCTGCTTCAGTTGATTGCAAGCAGTTCCTCCAATGTACAAATAATTTCTAATGCTAGCGATAGATCTTTGTTATTCTGTCCCATTGACTCTTCATGAAGGGCTGGGGGAGGTAAAGGTGAGTCTTTTCTTGGAGAGTTTATTTGCAGAAGTAACTGTCTTTTGTAAGAATTTAGGCAGTAATGGTGTCATGGGTATGTTTGAAAAGACAGAAATTTTAGTAAGGCAAAGGCAACATACAAAACATTTATATTCAAATTCAAAACCTTCAAAGCAACTGCGGCATACATGTCATATTAGAAGGCTCTGTATTCTTTTCTAAACCTTCTGATTTTTCATCCTTGTCTAGAAAAGAGATCAAAATAAACTCAGATTAATTCCTCCAGATTTCAGGGCCCAAACACTGTTCCTTTTACTTACTTATTTCCAAAAAGAAAAGAAGAGAATATTTGCAAAAATTATGTAAAAACATATGATATTGTTAAAGAATTATATATAAAAATATTACCAAAATATTAATAAATACTGATCCTTTTAATGTTTCTAAACAATGCACAAAGGTCAGAAAGATGGGGTGGTATTTCTGGTCCTAGCACTAGGAGAAAGGATCTCTCAGCAGTAGTGATTCTATCATCCTAATTTCTTTCTTAATTTATTTCTTCATTTGTAATTTATAGCCAAGTGCAGGCTTAAAATTATTTGGAACAGGAGGAAATAAATCCTTTACAGCTTTCTTTTCTTTATCATAATTACTAAATTACCTATTCTTTCTTATTCTATCTAAATGATTGGCATATGACTAGCTGTGATTACTTCCCCCCCGTCCCCTAATAACCTAAATGCAGAAGCTGCTGAGATTAAGAATATATTTCTTAAATACCTATGCTTACATTGTTGTTAATGATTGTCCATTTTGTCTACTGGTATTTTTAGGTAGCCAGTGTAATTCATTATTACAATTATGATACCCCTATTAAATAGCAAATAGAGATCATACAGTTAAATACTTTGGTGTATATAGAAAAAACAGTGTATTTTCTGTTTGCCAGTTATGAAAGTCATGGGTTTGGGTTTTTTTTTGTTTTTTAAGTTGAAGACTCTTCAGTTATACTACTTAAAGGTTTTGAATTGCATTCTGAAAAAGGACCTATAAAGCAGGCCATAGAGCAGACTATCTGCTGTAAATTAGTGTTTTCCAGTTCTTAAGGAAGGCTTTATCCTGTAGCCAGAAATCAGAATCTCTGGAGATGTTTTAGGCCTTCCACTAACTTTATTAAAAACCATTCTAAGAAAAATAGCCATTAGGCAGATATCAAGTTCAACTATGCACTGTATGCAAAAATTTTAAAGGAAATTTCATGATGAAAATGAACTTGGTTTTGTTCAGGTTCATATGAATATTCATATTCAGGTCATGAATATGTCTCATGGCAAAATGTAAGTCTTTGGAAGATAGGTCCTGCCTTTTTAAAAGTCATATTATAGCTATGGTGGGAATAAAGTTAGAAATACAGACAGGCATTTGATGCTAAATCTTTTACTTCAGCATATTTTACTAATCCATCTGAGTACCAGGATGATAATATGCAGCAAAACATCCTTTCCTTTAGTCTAATTCTGTGCTTTTGAATTTCTTAGGGCCTGTGACCTATTAGTATGAGGTGAAATGTTATGGTGATAAATTTGTGACTGATTTGGACATTTTGAGAGGGAAGTTTTTAGTGATTTCCCAATTACTGAAAATACAAACGTGCAAGAAATACATCTCAGCCTTTCAATTTTGCTAGTATTTATTCACAGCATAGAGTGAAAAAATTAATACATATGTTGAAGCATAATTTCTGCTCCTTTATTGTGCATGTCAGTACCAGCTGTATTATTGCAGGAAGTAGAAAGAGCAAGACTTAACTGCTGACTTTTTTTTTTAATAAACTCTAATGATACATTTCTTATTAGAACGTATCAAAAATCTTGTAAAGGTGCTTTATCAGTTTTCCTTAACATTATTTTTTTATTGTGCATTATACATAACTACAAAAAGACAATGTCATCCATTCTGAATGTAATATTTATAAAACTCAAGTAGTCTTCTCTGTAAGATAAATTCATATATCACTGTGAAAGTTTCATAAAGCATCCCACCAAGAAATTTTGAATACATTTGAAATTGTTTACTGGTCATTCTGAATACCAAAGTTTTGTATGCTCTAATGTGTATTTTGCCATTTTTATTTCATACACACTTTCAAATGGTATATTTTCAGTTTAAAAAAAACAAATAAGGACTTTGGTATGGTAAGACTATATGTAGCTAAAATATAAAATTGGAAATTACAGATGCACTTGGCAAATCTTTCTTTAGGATAAATCTGAATATAGGATGATCAGCTGGGACTTATATTTACAGGAGTGAGTTGCTAGATAATACAACCAAGTCAGAGAGAATTAATTTTAAAATTATATCTGTTTTATATTTATGAATACTATTATTTATATTTTGTCTTAATTTATTAAAATAATGAATTTAATTCTGGAATACATTAAGAAAGTCATACTCTATAGTAGCGTGTGCCAAAGTTGTACCTGTGATTTTTTTTAGTCTCAGCTCTCTGAAGTTTGAGTTCAGGAGTTTTATTCAAATTCCACTTTCCACTGGATTCTTTTTATTAGTTTCACCCTTTTAATTTATGCAATTTGCTCAAAAATATGTGCTGCTATTTAGCATTTTACATGTTACAATATTGAACTTGACTGCAGTTCCTTGAATGTGTCCAGCTAGGTTGTCCATGCTTCTAACTAAACGTATGATAACGATGGCTAATGATCATAAATAAGTATCTGTAACATGCTCATTATTCTTGTCTGCCCTTTTTATTTAAATTCCCATTTTCATGTTCTGTCTTGGGTGAAGATTGTTTACTGTCTGTTGTCTGTTGAAATTTTTCATCATATAGGCAAAATGCAGGATGGGAATATGGAGAACAGCCAGAACAAAGGTAATCTTCTTTCATATTAAGGAGGTTGTGGATTTTATTTTTAGAATGTAGTTTAATTCTGTTAAAAAATAAAATGAAAATTTGTGATTTGTGCCTGTGTATAAAAATGGCCCTATTGTTCAAACAGAATGTTAAAAAAAACCCAAAACAACCAAACCCAACAAAAAAAACTACTAAAGAGATTGTAACTTACAGAATTTTGATATATCACGTATTTAGGATAGGAGAAGATCAGTATTTCTAATAAGCCATTTATAGATGTTACTTCCATGTCACAAAGATCATTTGAATTCATTTTTCTTGTGCAAGTTATGTATGCTATGTATTGTTAGTGGATTTCCAACCCTATTTTTGATATGTCGCATCATCGTTGGTGTTTAATGACATTGTACAGACATACTTTATTTTGCAAGGAGAAGGTAAAGAAATAACAAAAGGAAACTTTAAAGCCAAGAGTTTATTTAGCAATGTAAAAGCGTATTATAAGGATAAATCATAGGAAGATTAAGAATCTTAGGAGTTTCTTAGTTAATGTACAATCTGAGGAAAAAAATGAAATAAATATTTTGCTTTGTCTGAAGCAAAGTTATGGTTCCCTTTTTATTAGATGAGACACAGCTATCATGATTTCTTTGGGTTATGCCAAATAAGTAAGTTAAACTATACCTTTCTCTTCTCAAATAATACTAAAGATTGCAAAGGTGATGGATCAGAAACTGAATAGACAAGCTCAGTGGTTGATGGTACAAAACTATCAAATAAAATTATATTAAATGAATAAGTTTTAAGGTTAGATAGACAAATTAGATTTCCAGGTCAAATAAGCATGGTTTTGTACAATCTGTTCATGAATGTCAAAGCAAACTGTTTCATCTCATTCTATTTAATTTACTTATGTCTGTGTTCAATACAAAACAGACACACATCTATAAACTGGAATGCCATTGCTTTTAAAAAACACGTCTTTCTCTATGATACTAAAATAAAGTTTCCTTGTATTAGCATTAACATTCTTTCAAGAAAGGATGCTTTAGCCTTTAAATTACGTGTGCTTTTCTATGGGAGAATGATGATGGTATCACCATCGGACCTGACGGTTGAGTTACTTGAACACTGAATGCTAAGGAAACTTTTTGAGTCCGATGTTATCTAGAATACTGGTTTGCAATGTGTAATCCACTGGTCACTGAGGTGCCCATGCAGTCAAGAGAAGTGATGCATGGATCATCTGTGGAACCACATTACCATTAAAATGCTTTCATTAAAAGTATGGTTATAAGGGTGCATTGTAATCTATGAGACATACCAAAATTTGGAGAAATACAGACTGTCTATTTGCTGAAGCATATGAGATCTCCTACTCTAGGAAATCCTGCAGTACTGATGTACTGTTACTTGCCAAGTAATTTGCAAGACATTAAGTGATATATATGGGTATAACACAGAATGTCATTGGTGATTAAAAAAAAAAAATAATCAATGGTTTTCACGGTACTTGACAAACAGCACAGTACATATTGCCGTATGTATGGAGTGCACATGGGTATGCTTGTACATTTGTGTCCCTGCAGAACCCCACTGGGTCTCATAAGGGCATCTGTCTGCCAGGGGAGTGAAGTGTAATCCTGTGCATAGTTACAGTCATCTGTGTTGCAGTCAGCCCCTGCAATGGGTGTTGCTGGTTGAATTCAGTAAGTATCGACACTAAGATAAAAAGAATGAAGAGCAGTTTTGGAGTAACAGTTTTGTTCTGCATTATTAGCCAAGCAGCAGGATGGGGCTGCTGCCATGGAGATGCAGCCACTGAAGAGTGCAGAAGGGGGAGAGGGAGATGACAAAGACAAGAAGAAATCCAACATGCACAAGAAGGAAAAATCTGTTCTTCAGGGAAAGCTGACCAAGCTGGCAGTCCAGATAGGCAAAGCAGGTATGACTGGATAACTGACTGAATAGCAGTGTGTTGTACTAGCAACAAAGAGTTTTAAAGTAAACTATTGTTAAAAATGATAGGCCTTTTTTACTGCAATATTTAGAAACAGGTCATCATAATACTGTTCTAAGGATAGTATGTGGTATTGAAGATCTTTTAATCTTCTAAAACTTCACTTTAACTGTCAAGAAACTGGAAGCTTTGGGCAACTTGCATTGTAATGAATATTTGAATCAAAATGAAATGTAGCTTTTCTTATAGTTAATATTCCCAAGTGCAGTAATTACATATTTAATTTCCTTTCCTCATAGAACTTCTGAGTACACAGTTTCAGAATCTCTAATATCTCAAAATATCACTCATGCAGTATTTCCCTCTTATGGATTCTGAAATCATTCTCTTCTCTCTTAATATCCATGTTCTGCCTTCTACCCAAATATGACACATCTGTTGACTCTTGTATCCAGTACCATCTGGTCCCTGCTGTTATAAGTAGCACTTCTTCTCCAACACGTAGGTAGAAAGTGAAAACCTTTTGTAACCACATAAAGCTCATTAGGTTTGTTTTTCTAGTGGTATTAAAGAGATCTTGATCTTTATTCAGATCCTTGGTTGAGGCCCTACTACAGATTGCTAACTTTACTTCTGTTCAATCTCCTGTATCCCTCTTTAGGAGTCTGATTTTTACTCTGGATGTTCCTTCTCCTTCCTTTCTAAGTTCATTGCACTATGTTGATCACCTAACCCCATGATGCCACAGTGCATGACTACAAATCTATGGTTATCATCTCTTTGATATCCAATTTCATGTTTTGCCCAGTTTCATATTCCCCAAGCTTCTCTGCTTTGTTGCTAGTTGCACAACAGTATGCACTGATATAAAAACACTTCACTTCTCATGTTCATTAATTTCTTAGATTAAGTACCTTTCTATATTGCCTTCTGATTATTATTCTCTTTGGTATTTCAGCAGGCATGTGAATATCACTTTTAAAGTAATTGTGTAGGGATTTCTAACCATAATGTGGCAAGTAATATGAATTAAATTAATTAATCATTGCCTCGTTTGGTTTTTCTTTGTCACTGGGCAATCTATGGGGTTGTCTTGCGTTGTCATGAGTATTTTCCTGTACAATATTTTAATGGATTTTCCTTTATCCTCTGGCATTTAGCAATCTCCCTGACTCATCTGTTTCCTGTCAACCTTAGCATCCTTCAGCTACCAATTTTTTTTTTTTTTAACTTCAGTCAAAACATGAAATTCACAGCATTCTCCTTCTACTGTGTGAAAAATTGATTTATTCTGAAATGCAGGCTTAACTACTTCATAGAAACCTGCCAAAGAGCAGTAATTATAGCAAGGCAAAATAGATGTCCTAATGGAGTTTTTATTTGTGTACTCCAATGCAGGAACAAAATTGTGGAGGAGGAGTGCTATCTTAGCAGTCTTTGTCATTGGGAGAGCATACTAAGTCCCTGGGATCTTTTGTGAATTCTGTGAAATACTTACTAATGTCTGTTGTGCTATACTGTCAGTGTTGTACCTCTTTTGAGTCTCTTCTCATAAAAATATCACTGTTTGCATATGTCCCTTTGAAAAGGGAAACCTTGGAAATACTACTATTTATCACATTTTCAAGAAAAACAGTTAAAAACTGTTCTGTGCCTGATTCTGCAGTATTGCCTCATTGTATTCAGCCAGACACATCAGTAGGGCTTTTCTAAAACATTTTATGCAGCAACGTAAACTGCAGGAGACTCCTTTTCTCAAGCCTCTTAAGATAAGCTAATTTAAAAGAAAGATGAGTGTTGAATATAGATAGACTAGAAATTTGTAAATGGTGGAAGTTAAAAGGACATATAAATGTTGTACCAGGTAAAGGTAGTGCACTAAATTGAAAAAGCTTTGCTTAAGCAACAGCAGAACTCCTGTTGAACTAGGCTGACTCAGAAGTTTTAAAGGTAGCAGTAAGATGGTGCTTAAATTTAATGCAGTATGATTCAGCTGTTCGGTAGTGTGTGATTCAATGTTTCCTTATTCGCTGGTATGTATGGCTATTGTAAATGTATTATAGTAATGTTTTTTCCTACATTGTAAAATTTACGATTATCATCATTATTGGTACTGGTGAAAAAATGTCATGTAGAATAAAAAAATAATTTCATATAAAAGTAAAATGTAGATTTCTAATTGTGCATGGTTTTAATTGTGTTTTGCTTTATAGTAATTGATGATTTCTATTTTCAGGTTTGGTGATGTCTGCCATCACTGTAATAATTTTGGTACTATATTTTGCCATTGACACATTTGTGGTCAACAAGAAACAGTGGTTGCCTGAGTGCACTCCTGTCTATGTTCAGTATTTTGTTAAATTCTTCATTATTGGTGTTACTGTACTTGTGGTTGCTGTTCCTGAGGGACTTCCACTTGCTGTCACTATTTCGCTGGCTTACTCTGTAAAGGTAAGAAACATTAAAAATAGTTATGGAATAAAAATGCTGTTCATTTGAGTTTCCTAGTGAGTTAGTCTTCAGGTTTTATCAGGTGTGATGAAAATTGGTCTGAAAATTGATGCACTTTAAAGAAATTTCACTCTCATTAATATTTTAAGTGAAACTTTGCTTTATATTGAAAGTATTTCTGACAAAAATGCAAATACATATGTATTCTAATACATATATTTAAAACTACACAGTGCAGGAATATCAAACGGTAGAAATACCTACTTAGTTTGCAAGGTTACCAGGAATTTATTGAGCAGAATTTACTATGAGAATTGTCCAGTCTTTTGATACAGAATAACTTTGTGTTCAAATTCTCTTATGCAATAGTACAAAGTTTTGACAAGGATTTGAAGTCTTCAGGAACACTTTTCAAAGAAATTAGAGTTTCACTGGAGATTTCATGTGCTTTTCTTAAACGTGGTTGCAGTTCTTTGCAGCCAATGTAAATGATTCTATTAGGAAATTAAAGAGGATTAAAATCTTGGACTTGTGGATTACTCCATTATCTATTTTAGGAGTTTTCTCAGATTGTTTTTGCAATTTAGTCAGATGGGCCTTACTTAAACATTCTAGGAATCTTAGATGAAGATTTTGTAAAGTTTATTTCCATTTAGTATGTAAATAAATTAACATATGAACATTAGGAAGGAATAGCTTGATTTACGTGTAGCCAAACATCATTATTATTAGGAAAAAAGAGCGCAACTCAAGCATGGGATTTTGCTAATAAAGACTGCAGCTGCTTTAAAAATATTTTCCCATTCTTCTTACGTCCTTTGTCTGACACATGCAGCACATATGTGTATATCTATATTTGCAGTATCAAACTGCAATACATCTTTGTGTACAACTGGTGGTGATGTGCTCTGTAAGACATTGTCTGACAGTAAGGGTCAGGTGATTCAGCACAGAATTTTTTAATGTTGAAAACATATAAACAAGGATAATGTATTTCCAGGATGACTGTGCATCTTGTGAAAAATATACACTGTGGAACGGAGTACTCTACAATGGTGGTTTTTTGTGGGTGTGGGGTTTGGTTTTTTGTTTGATGGGGTTTTTTTTTGTTTGTTAGTTCCTCCCTCCCTCCCTTCCTCCCTTCCTCTCTTCTTCCCTCCCTCCCTCCCTCCCTGTCTTTCTCAAAATATATAGTCTCTCTATGGTGCAAGGACACATCCTGGCATTAGAAATGATATTAAGAAAAGTCTAATATTTGCTAGAATTACACTGTTTAAAAAATCCTGTTCTCTTCATTTTCTTTAGCAAACCTTTGCTATTCTATGTATTCCTTAAAATGTACTTATACTGCAAAAAATGTTGGTTAGAACTATGTTGGTTTAACAAAGGTGAAATTATTTCAGGTATAATCACTGCTTGGTGGTCTGTAACTAGGGCTTGGGTTATTGGCCCTAGTCAAAGTTCTACTTTAGTGAGCATTATGTTCTCATGAACAAGACTAAATACATACTTTTTTGCTTTTTATTACTGATGTTAAAAATCTGTTGGAGCAAATCTTGAAGGTTTTTTATTTTACTTTTTCTCAGAAAATGATGAAGGATAACAATCTGGTCCGCCACTTAGATGCTTGTGAAACTATGGGTAATGCTACAGCCATCTGCTCCGACAAAACAGGGACACTAACAACCAACCGGATGACGGTCGTCCAAGCCTATGTGGGTGATGTCCACTACAAAGAGATCCCTGACCCAGATTCTGTACCCGCCAAAACCCTTGATTTGCTAGTTAATGCAATTGCTATCAACAGTGCTTATACTACAAAAATTCTGGTAAGTAGGCTTTTTCTGTCAAAAAATGAAACATAGCAGAAGGAGTTGTAACTTTTTAAAGCAATATTAATTCCTTAACATCCTGTTGTTGGTTATGAAGCATTAAATACTGTTGAGGTCCTCAAAATGAGAACAGGTACTTTAAAAAGTACATATTTTATGTTTTTCTTTTAAGGATAGGGATGTACTTACAGGTACAAGACCATGTTACATTAAAAAAACTCCTGCTGTTGTTGGATTGGGATGGCCCAGTTTTGTTGCAGGTAAATTTGCTAACAGCACTAGTTTTCACTGAGACTTCATATGTGTAAAATTATTTTTATGTGTTTAAGAACTTTCAATTAATTCTCAAATAGGACAAATTGGATTGGTTAAATCAGTGAGGTTAATGATCTTTATTCATTCTGGTTTCAAGTGAATTACATCCAAAAATATTTTATTCAGTCTGTAAAGGAGGACAAAATGGAAATATCCTGTTTGCTTGTGGCATTAGGTTCTTCTGTACAGAGCTAATTAAGAGGCCGAAAACCTTTGCAATTCTAATAGATTTGTTCTTTGAAAGGTCAAGCTTAATCTTAATATTGCAGAATAAATACTTTTTTTTTAGTTTATGAATTTATGTATTGTCCTTTTTATAGCTCTGTGCTGAGCTGCATAATATAGCCTTGTATGAACTTCCAGTTTGTTTTAAAAGTAGTCTTTTAAAATGCATTCACAGAAAACAATTGGTAAAATACTACTTGAGTGCTGGGGCCTATATTTCATTCAATTCTTGCTATGTAAGTGTCTGGGTATTAGTAAAAATCAAGACTTGGAAGAAGAATGTTTAGAGAAACCTGATGCAGATATGCAAAGTGTGTTTGTAGCAAAGGTGTGTTTGAAATGAATGCTCCTGAGGATTGGGTAGCCAGGGTTGGTGTCTGAAGTCAAGCCACAGCTTAGGCATCCTTCAGACAGTCATCTGTGCTGTTATGCACTCACTCTTCTGTTCTCAGTGAAAGCTCTCTGGAAGGGGAAATGTGGGGAGAACCAGCCCCCAAGGCAGCGTGAGCTGCTTCCTACATCACGAGTGGACAGGGAATCACACAAACCCTCCATCAGCTGAGAAAGGTACTGTTAGTTGCCACCTTTCAGCTGAAATCAGCCAGCAATGTGAGTGCACCTCTTCTGTTGCACCATAGAGACAAACAGCTCTAGTCAACTGAGGCTGGAGCTGGCCCTTTGGCTCTGAATTCAGAAACCCTGGAAAAGCAGAGCTCACTCAGCTACGCACCAGTTTCAGCTGTAAGCACCCAACTAGCAGCACCAGTTTCCAACCGAATCCTGGATCTTATTCTGTCCTTTTTCCTATGGTCTGTGCAGGTCAAAATCAACCAGGTTAGCTGAAATGAAAGATGGGCCTTCCATTCTCAGATGGTTCAGTGTAAACGCTGTGTAATAGCTCAGTGTGGATATTTTATGGCAGTGGTTTTTTGGAATCTCATTTGCCTGTTTGTAAATTAGCAAGAATATTTTACTATTGCTGGGTAAATTATGCTTTCACAAATCAGTATAACATTGGATTGTTGGGGAGAGGAACATACATCTTAGTTCTTTTATTATTGTTACAGCCTACGTAAGGTTAGGTGCTGCCTTCTGTAGAAAGAGAAATCTAATCAAACTCATCCTAAACACACAGACTAGGATTAAAACAGAGCAATAGAGACAAATTGGGATGAAGGGTAGTAGGTAGCTGTATAAATTTGTGTTTGTATAACTGCTACAGTGGCAATGCTAGTCACCAGCATCAGTCCTAGCTGGCACTATGGAGTTTGACTTTGGGAGGGCTTTGAGAGAATGTTACCAATGTTGGCAGAATTTTCCCCATTCCTAAGAAACAACAAGGCAGAGGGCAGGCGGATTGGTTGGTAGTTAAATCAGGTGTGACTGGCCCAGCAAGACTCAATGTCAGCTGTGCTTCATTTGTTTTATATTTTGCTCTTAATTTTGAATGCTTGAGATCAAACACAGTAACAAAGTGTTTCTGTTCCATTTCCATACCAGTTCACTCTCTCTGAATCTCAGAATAGATTCAGATTTCTGAGTAAGGCATGGGAAGGCATCAGACTTTCCAGAGTGATGCATCTGTAATATTAAGTTTAATGTTCTATCTTTCTCTTATGATAATAGCTTAATTTGACTGAAAAACTCTTGGTCCATAGTGGTTCCAAAATTGCACTTTGGTCTCAATATAATTTTGAATATTTTTTTTTTTAAACTCTGGCTTGACTTTATTGCTTCTTGTTGAAATTAGTTATGTGTACCTATTAAAAAGAGTCAATATTTCAGTATTTCAGTTCTTTTTTTAGCTTTGCACAGAGACTGATTCTCTGTAAAATTGGTAAATGAGTGAAATCCTCTGGAAATCACCTTGTGCTGGTTGCATATCAGATGACTACTTGAACTTATCTGTGTAAAATTAACGGTGATTTTTTAGCTATTATAACAACATCATAAGATCAAGCCATGTGGTATAGACCCCACGAGAATAACAACTCCGATATCAGAGGAGTTCATTTTATTCATTGTTTATAACAAGCTTAAGCTAAAGTTTAAGATAACAAGGTATTTTTCCATAGCCCCTATTCATTTTAAATCATAAATAAATGCAGTAAAAATACATAAGGGAGTAGTTTCCAGGTTGAAGTATACAGAGTTCTTTCTCTAGCTGCTAATACTGAATGCATACTTGTGCACTCATTCTTAGAGCATATTTAATCAAATTGTGAATATCAGCTCAAACCCAAAGGGCATGTAAGTGTTATGTCGCTAAGACTGAATTTTATGTATTATATTTTTAGTTATCTAGTTATGCGTATGCTGTAAATTGCACTTTGTGTAAACTTCTGTTCAGAGGATCACATATGGGACCAATAAAATTAGTGAAGATACTCTGCTGAATGAAAAATATTCCCTCTTGCATTATCTTTTGATTAAGGGGCAATTGAACCATTGATAAAAATATGAAAAGAAAATAATATCACTGCTTGGGATAAAAGATTTGAATTTCCCTGAGAAATTAAACACAAATTATTCCAACTGAACAATAGCATCATTAAATATAGTTCTTTTTAATGCTTTCCAAGGATTAAGTTACTGAGTGAGCTGATTTTGCATTCCAGTAGCTTCAGAGCAATTTTAATGCTGCTTTTTTTGCTGTTTATTTGAAGCTGTTCTCCAGAAAACCTTTCTTTTCCAGTATTCATGTTTTAGGTAGCTTTCCCACATGGAAATAAAAATTAGATTTCACACATTTTTGCATGTGAGCTATGATGAGGACTGTAAAGCATCTCTTACTCTGAAAACAAAATTTGCATTTTGGGAATACTTTGATTGCACTTGGAGCAGAAGTATACTGATCTTGAATATCTTGGTGCAATAATGAAATAGAGACTCCAAATACCACAACTAGTGATTTGAACTCTTCTATTGAACTCTTGTTCGCATAAATTCAGTTTTAATTAGAAAAGTATTTCTTCTAATTTCCTGAAAACTGTCAGAGGGCATAGATGACATGCTTGCTGGATGGGTGTCATGTTCTTATTAAGAAGACATCCCAATTTGTATTTAGTGGAGTGATTTTCAGCACCAGTGGAAAAGACCCAGCTGAACTTGTTGTTAGGATCTAACACAGGCATTTCATTTGGTACTTGGTAGGTGCCTGGAGAGAAAAAAAACTACCTGTATTAGGTGAGTATCTGGATCTGCATCAGGAGCACTGTTTTCAGTTCTGAGGATCGAGTATCATTTACTGCATTTGCACAGTATGTGGCACAAGGTAGCGGTATCCTTTAACTGAGGATCTCAAAGGAAAAAAGACAGAGATGTCATAGAAAAGTGCAAAACATTCACTCTCTTCCACAGGTTCTGCCAATTTAGGAAACGAAGTAAACATATGTGACCTTGTAAAACTTTTAGAACAAAAAGGCCTCTATCAGATAAAACCAAAAGGGGCAAATGAAGCAAAAAAAAAAAAAGAGAAAAAGAATGTAGACAATTTTATTGCAGCCACAACAGAGAAAATAGTTTCCTGTTTATCATATGGCAGAAGAACACCTGCATGTGGCACTGTAACATCTGTCTAAGAAAATAGTGAAGTTACCAAGGGTGCTGCCAGCACCCGAATTGCAACCACATTCCTACCACAGCCCTGGATGAGGTTCTTCACTGTATGCTCAGACAGACATCTCCCTAGAAGGCTGCAGGGATGGCTTTGAGGGCCCCAAATAAATCCCAGCAGAGAGGAGCAGAGATTCCCCACAAGCTTCTTTGAGAGGAGTTTTTTCTGGGGGGGAGCAATGGTTACTCTCCATGGGAGAATGATACTGAGGATGCAGGCTGGCTGCAGGGGTACATGGTGCATAGGATGAAGCTGCGACACAGATGCAGGCATTAAGATTTACTAAAGAGGAAGGAAGATGTTAATTCACCTTCCTGCTTTGTGTAATTACTTTTTCCTGAATATATAATGAACAATCTTGTTAAAATAGGTGGAACAAAATCTCTAACTTCTTTATACCGAAAGCAGTTCAAGAGATTTTGGCACAGAATTTTATTGTTAAGAATAAATAGTTCTTTTTACTGATGGTTTGATGCAGAATACTGGAATGAATGCACTTCATACTTTCTTGGAGAAAAGGCAGGGAGGGAGGCTGGCAGAGCAGGTAGGTAACCCATAATATATGAAAACCATAAGAAGAAATTACATTCTACAAAAGTGAAATGGTAAAAGGAATGGAAAATAAGATTTTAGCAAGACAGCTGCGTCGCAGGGATAGATGAAAATCTACACTGGGTATTGAGAACATGGATATAGTAGCCAGGTAAAGGCTTCTTCTTATTTCTGAGGAATATATTTGCGTCCAAAAGTACAGCTGTCTGGGTTGTTGGGAGACATAATGTTCCTGTCAGAAAGAGTCTTTAAAAAGGTATGGAAAGTACAAAATTCACTTCTCTCTTAC